CTTGAGGTCAAAGGTAGGAACACTATTGGGGATGGGAAAAGAACTTTGAACCGCTCTACCATATCTGGAAATCCCTTAGCCTTTTGGACTTCATTACACAAAAGAATTGCACATATGTCATGTGAAGCAAAGATTTATGTGATTCCTCATAGGTTGTTAGAATTTGATAGGGATATGGCAAGCTCCCTAAGCTAAAGGAGCTATGATAGGAAGCATACAGGTTCAGTTTCCTATCTCCTTACTGCAGGCAATATTCAGACAGTTAAATTTGATGAACATCCTATTTTCTTAAAAAGTCCTTACAAATTCGGATTAAGGCTTTGGATGACTCAAAAAAGCTCTACAACTTAATAAAGATGGTGAGCTTTTTTTTAAAACTCCTTCATAACTTCTGGAGATGTTTAAAGAAATCTTCATGAAATAACATTATTGGCAACCACAGAGTATCCTCTTCATCAGTCTGACATCTTTGTCTTCAATCAGAGGCTTCTCTAGACCTGCTGTAAGATGGACCATTACAGGAGATACTTCCTGACTACAGCCATTAGCATTTAACTTTGTGAAGAAACTCCTTTACAAGTGGCAACCCTGTCACTCTTGTCCCTTTGGCATCATTTTATTATATTTTGAATAAAAATATTCACTAAGTAGCATTTTAAAGGCTCTTTGTGTAAAGGTTAAAGTATAATGTGAAACTGATATGTTATTTTGAAAATAGAACTTTATATTCAAGGGAAGCAGAGCAGCACAGCAGAAATACTTTTTATGTGTTGATTATCGCCTCAAGCCGCTTGTATTTTCACCTTAGAATTTGAAACCAAACTGCATACAGATTTAAGAAGTCTATTTTAGTAACTAGTTGGGTTTTCTGTTTTTGCAAATGATTTAACTCTGCGGTGCCGATTGGGATTTGTTGGAAGTATGGAAACCGTAATGAAAGCAGCGTAATTGTGCATCTGGTTCAGTGGGCTAATCTCTGTTTGTCCACATGGTGTCTAAACCAAATGAGGCCCTGAGCCCATATTTGTTGCAGATGTGGATGTTTGTGTAGGGTGGTAATGGAGTGTTGCATTGGAAGGGTAGCATTGGTTCAGCTTTAGATTTAAATTTCTTCTCTCAGCATGCTATTGTACAAGTGTGTCCTTCCCATCGCTTCAGGATAGGTCTGGTTATGGAGGCCGCTGCTGGATTTGTTTTATGAAGTTTAAAAAAAGATGCACACACCTGGTACAGCACAACTCATAATTTCTCCTCTCTTGTCTATGATATTGCTGCAGTTAAGCCTAATGCGTTCAGAGATAGCTCCAATAGCGAAATAAAGGGATTTCTCAAAGGAACAGCAGTGATTTTATTAATGTCATCTGTTTAAAAGCATGGAAAGTAATCACATTAACATCCCAGTGTAATTCTGTGTTTCTTTTGTCTGCAAGCTTCAATAGGAAAGCTCCTGTGAGAGCATTAGCCTAACCACTACACAGTATGCGTGCTTAGTAATATTCTTTCTCCTCTTTGAACAGCCCCCAGTACTATCACAAATCAGCTCCTTCTCCTCTCTCAGTGACAGTTCTTCATTTTAGTGGTTGAGGTGGGGACGTATTTGATAAAATTATCTCCCTAATTATGCTGTGATTCATTGAGAACAGCAGGCTAAACCTTCTCTCAGCGTTCCAGTCTCCTGCGCTGTCCAAATCCTATCAAGCTGTCATTTCGAAGTCCGGTGTGGTTTGGGCTCTGCCCTAGGGTGGAGCACAATTAAAGCTCCGCTTGGCCCAAATATGGGGACACACAAAGACTTCTGGCACCTTCTGAAGGTTTATAGCATCCATCCCTCTCTCCAATTATTCTTTTATTTTTCTGCTTGAAAGGTCTTTATCTTTTTTTTTTCCCTTTCCTGCTCTGTGTTCCGGTTCTCCCTTTTTTTTCTGCATTTTGGCTCCTTTTCTTTCAAATGTTTCCCTCTAGTTACCTTTTTGCTGAGATTTATTATTCAAAGACGGTTTTGCCTGGCACTTAACCCGTTTATTCTGTCTCGTTTGGATGAGAAAGCACCAGCTGCTAATTGATCAATTAGGCCAGCACCAGATGACATCATTGTTACTTCTATGAGAAGAGTTTATTGCAGCATCAAGCTGTAGACGGTAATTCAAGTTTGCCTTATACTTTTCTTTCCAGTTAATCTGCTTAAGTCCTTCAGGGCTTTTATCCTACTGGCAAGGCCTTTTTTTCCAGTTATTAACATCTGTCTTATCTGCAATTGCTCTTGTATTTTCTAATGTCCAGTATTAATCACTTGCAAATATTGGCATTAGTCCTGCAAATCTTAAATAACCTCTTCATAGACTAAAATTGTTTCTCTCTTAAGGAATAGAGCTACATTATGAAGGAATTGCATTTTTCCCAGAAAAAGACTCTGCTCCTGTTGTTCTGTGGAAAAAGTGTGATTCAGTTTTGCAGACATTTGTGAGATGGGGGATATGGAGCCAACAAGTCAACTCCATGCCATGTATTTGTTTTATCCAATCACTGAACCAGGTAAGTCCTCACCTGGTTCAGTGGCTGGGCAGAACAAATATGATGCATGGAGATGGCCTGTTGACTCCACATCCCCAAATTATTATTTTCTTAAAGTTACAAAAAAAAAGTACATACATTGTCAATTGAAACATCTTAACAAGACTGCGATTATCTACAAATTAAAACTGTTGTACCGCCTTTAATGACTACCAGGGTTGCAATATTATTCAACCCAATGATGGTGACCATCGTTAGTGCTGCAGACAAAATGCGCAGCAGGACACAAGCCACTGAGAGTGTTGCTAAGGAGTCTTGGCACACTTCTCCTGGGCAATGACCATTTGGTAGCATTTGACTTTTTTAATTCTGGTTCAACTCTCTGCAAGTAAATATTTGGACTTTTCTTACTGGCGACCCATCTCTGGTGTACCCCACTTTTTCTTCTGTAGACTGCTGGAGGCAGTCACCAGCCCCCCTAGACCTGGATGGACGAGGAGATGGAGGGAAGGATAGATTAAGATATCAGGAAGATGAAAATATGTCAGACACAAACTTTTATGGTATAGACAGGACTTCTAGGATCTGATATTAATTATTTAGGGAAGTCTGAACCTTATCCATAGAAGCGGTAAATATGAAGTACAGACAACGAATCCAACAGATACTGGAAACAATCAGTGTTCCAATACATGTTTCAATATCTTTAATCAAGGTACACAGGCATTCTTCTTTGGCTTATTTACAGAGTGCCATCTTCTTTATATGTTGTAGTACGTCAGGCGACCAATAAGCTTTGATTTGTTAATGGAGGCCTACGTAATAGAACTTGGAATATTTAGCTTAAGTCATACGGGTAAAAAGATAAAACAATAGAGATGTAATTGACAATGTGCTACATGAGCTGCAGATTGCTAATCGTGGAAATAAGGGTTGCCTCATTTAAATATTGGGGAGCATTTCTAATCCACTTATTTCTATTTTAGTGGCGCTAAAGGCCTCTGCTCAGTACTACCTATACCTTGAAAGTGACTCATCCTAAAAATATTAAGATGATTACAGGATATTTAACCCTAATAAACACACTCACTATCTCAGAAAAAGACCAAGTATCAAGTTGTCCATTTTATTTTAAGAGGCCAAAATACATATACAATATCTAATATGACACAAAACTGCTCAGGGAACTGAAAACATGGTGCCAACCCATACATAAAATGTATATATAGCTTTTTAATTCTTCCCTCTGGATGTTCTCTGAATAATTGAAATGCACCATGGCTCTGAACTGAAAAATGTCTGACTGCTCCTTCTGGGTCAAAGGTGGGTCTGTGCCTCAAGCATAAGAATATCTCAGTGTCTTATTTACGATTAGGCATGTGCATATGTCAGATGCTATAAATATAACCTTAGTGACACCACCAGCATTATGTTGGGTAGGGGTATACCCAACATTATAAATCTATCCTCCATACATCTGGGGAGAAGTCTAGTCATCCCAGCTCTTTCACTAGCATCTCCTAAAAAAGGACTTTAAACTATTGAAACTAGATGCTAAAAAAGTTAAGCAGAGAGAAACTGACTTTTAAATAAACCCAAACATATATTCAAGGAGGATCCCTGGATGTGTCAGCACATGAAATATTTAAACTTAGGCTTTTTTTTTAAACTTCATTCTGACCTGGATATGCCTTTAGCTGAAAAAAGATGTCTGGCTTTCATTGCCACTCAATTTCATATAAGTGGTTTGTTGGTCGATTCCGCTTCTAAAGGCTGATTGATATAAAGGTTAATACAAACATAAACCAGATGCATTTTTGGCTTATGTTTGCTAGAATTTATAATAATAATATTTTCTATATAATAATATTTTTCTATTTTAATTGCCAGGACTACAAGGGTTCCCAAATCCAGTCCTCAACACCTACTATCTTGTACCTTTGGGTGCATCCCTGCTCCAGCACATCTAAATCGGATGGCTGAATTCCCCGATCAGCATTCATTCAGCTCTGCAGAAAGCTGGTAATAAGCCATTTATCTGATTCAGGTGTGCTGAACAAAGAGTGGATCCAAAAGCTGCAGGAAAGTAGCTCACAAGGAATGGACATTGGCACCACTGTGCTATTGAAGGGCTGGAATATACTGGGCATGCTTTGGCACAGCCCAGTATACACTACTAGTTATCATGTACAGTAGTATATTGGTATACTGTATATGAAGCTTCTAACACATTGATATATAAAAAAAAAAAACAAAAACAAAAACAAAAAAACAAATTTATAGATACTTCTAACAACAACAAAAAATTCTTTAAGCATATTGTTTTCTGTTAGATTTTTTTTTTTTAACTTTTTCTTGTGGGTATTTATAACTGTTTTCCTGTTACATTGCCAATGATTGGGACCATCAGTGTGACTATATATTAAAGTGTACGGATTCTGACCTAAAATAATTTCAACAGCTGACTGATGTTTGATCCTGAATTTCAGATTCACGTTTACAGCCTGGAAACGGGGAAGCCAGCGGTTTGTGTCGGCAGCTCGCCGGGAGATTTCACTTGCATCAACCTGAGAGACAGCCCCCCCCATCTGTTGGTGTGTGGAAACAAAGACAGGAGGTAAGGACACCAAAACTCTAACAAGTGCAGCTGGAGAGTGCACACACATAATGCATAAAGAAACAAATCTCAGTTAAGTGCATAGACGAATGCACCTGGTAAAGGTTTTCACGTAGAAGCCACATGATGCAAGCTTAGGAAATGACTGGAAGGAGAGAACAGGTGTTTGCAAAAGATTTGAGTAAACAAAACTCTACATTTGTCGTATTATTAAAGACTTTCTGTTTAAAAAAAAAAAGAAGAAATATAGTGAAGACAAAGGTTGCATTGAAATACTAAGAGGAGTCATATTTTGCTCTTTGTCTTCTCCATTACCTACTGGATGATAAGAGATGAGAATTCAGGCTGTAATGACTTCACCCAGCAGCAGCAACACACTCTCTTTCGCTAATGTGCACATGCTCGCCACATTGGCTCGCCGGTTAAAGAAAAGACACATAAAAGATCCATTCTCATCTATTCTGCACTTGTTAGAGGGTGCTGTGATGCGTAGGATGCCAGGAAAGGAGAAATCCCTGGCATGTCTTCATCCAAAGCTGCCCCCGCTGTTTCTATTCAGCCCCAAACCCATCTGGCTGTTAAGTAGTTGGCTTAAAGTGGAGAGACCACCTCATACTGTTCGGGTTCTGTTTCTCCCTTTCCTGCTAGTTACAATTAACAACACCTGAACAAAGACAAAGAAATAGTTCCTTTTGTTTTGTTAGCGACTTCAGTCTTCAACCCTTAATTTTTTGATCAGATTTCATTCAGATAGGGAAAAAAAGAACTGTAGCTTGGCTCTTGGACTTTGTGCTGCATTTTCTGAAGCCAGAGTCGAAGACAAATGGGAACGATGGAGACTAACGGATGGTCGCCAATCTTGGCCCTTTGTCAGGGTGGCATCAAGCCAAAGCCTAATGCATCCCTTCTTTTTGTCCAGATGAGTTTTGTCACTCTGCATTTTTTGTAGGATCCAAGCACCAAATGAGGAATCCAGATAAGGCCTGTGTAAGGGGAAAAAAGAACACATCTGTGCAAACAAGACAAATCTGAGCAGAAAAAAGAGAAAACAGAAGTCTGCGAGGTTGTTAGCTAATGGCTACTCATTCAACAGAAAGCTTTGTTCTATAGAAAAATATGATGTCTGGTGTAGAAAATGACAGTTTGTCATTTTACAGATTTCATAAAGTTTGTCTTGACTTATAGAGGAATACTCAATATCAGATAGGGCAGGGCAATTTGGCTTAAAAATCAATTATCCCATTTTTATTAGCAGATCTGATAAATCTTTAAATACATTTTATATAATAATTTTTTTTTGTTTCATTAAAACAAAGTAAAAATTATAGGAATTAATTTTAAATAAAGACCCTTATTTTAATGATCCCTTCCTAGGGTTAACCTGAATTTAGAATGTAACTAAATACATGCAAAAACAATAAATATACGACACACGAAATGTTTGCAATGAGGGGTTTCTTGCAATGAGCTAGTTTAGCAGCCTTGAGTTGATGGCTAAGATCATTTGATAGTCTGACATCAGTCTGAAATATGTAGGCCAACGAACTGCATCAGTAGAAAAAGAAAAGCCAGATTGTCCTTTAAAGAAATCTTCATAAACAGGAAATTGGCTTAATCATTTAAATCAATTTATAGCCCAGCCCTATTTTTTTTTTTCCTTTTTTGTAAGGTTGTCTTTTCTAGTTTTAAAGCTACAGTTTGCAATTTTCAGTGATATCCAACAGTCAGACTGAAGCGAAAGGAGCCGTCAACAAACCTACACCAAGAGCAAGAGAAAAATGCGACTCCACTTATAAGAAAAACTCTGGCTTGAAATCGGTCGTCTTCATGATGTTGTAGTACGTTACAATTTTTATTACGTCTTTTAAGCACTTAACCAAGTAATCCCATCCTACTTTCCTTTCATTCCTGTGTACTTAAAAACTGTTAATCAAATTACTTCACCTGCTAGTAATGTGCTAGTATTTAACAAAAAATATCATGGTCAGTTTGCTCTTTTGCAAAACTAGAAGTGTTGCTATGTTCTCCTTTGTGTCGTTAACAAACCACTTGTCTGTTTCCTTAACTATACATTACAGCATAAATCACTTTGTAGATAATCAGAAAAATACTGTACATATATTGCACATATGTTCTATTTAAATTCTGTTATTTTTAAACTTTTCTTTTTTCATCGCACCCTATTTTATTTGAGCGAGGTTGTAATTGGGCCGGCTGATTCCCTTGAAATAAGGTTATGACCAATAATTAAACCAAAATAACACTGCAATCCATTTCTGGTAGATGAGATCTTGATTAACATTAACATAGTTTCACTGCTTCATAAAATAGTTTTGTTTTTCATATCCACTTATTTTTCTTTCCTAAAATCTTTGAAAGTGGGTGTAGTGTATAAGATGTGTTGGCTTGGATTTCTACCACCTTCCATGGACACTGCAGAGAGGACTTCATAGAAACAGGATTGTTGAACAAAAGGAGGATTTTATTTCAATATGCCAATGCTAAAACAATCAGATCTGTGCACAATATCTGCAGAGAATGGACCAGATTGTAGCAAAATTATCTGTTCATCTCTGTTCACTGCCCCTTATAGGGAGGTATAGATCATACGTATATAACACCATATTTAGCTGCGTCATCTGTAAGTCTGTAGCTCAGTCATTAAACGCATACATTCACATTTCCATATTTAGAATCGCTACAGCTTCAGCATGATCACAGATCTATGCCCCACCTTGTATAGAGTCTGGATCTCCAGCTCCTAACCAAAGATAAGAGCTTTTGCTATCATCAGATGCTACATGGGTTGGAGATGTTTTAGTTGTGTCAAGTTTTAAACCTGTTCAGCTTAGTGTCTAAACCAACAGTTTGTAAAAAGTAATTGAAAACCACAAAGGATACATGTTTAGAGTGGAGCACTGTTATCATTGTAGTTACTTCATCCTAAATGGCTGTCCTCTCACTCTCCTGATTAAAACTGACTTCCTTATACTGTTCTAAATAGGCCAGTAAACTACCAGGGCTCTGAGGTTATTTCACCACAGCAGGGCTATCAACTCTCACCCATTGGGAGTGAGACTCACCCATCTCAGTGTCTTGACACACTCTCACTCCATATTCACAATTTCTCACACTATAAAATGACAGACATTAAAAATAAACTCTGTTCCACTTATTTATGTATAAAAATACCATGGTGATCAAAATCCAGTCTGTGTTTTTAATACAACCTTTGTGCTAACACACAAGGACCATGTTTTGCTCTCAAGTTAAATAATTATTGCTCAGTCTAGTCTAATAATTTAGGTGTAATTAAACCAACACAAATATTTTAATTCTTAAAGCTTCCAGGTTTGCCTTCCAAACCCATAGGAGCTCCACAAAAAGAAAAATAATCACTGCATTTTATTTTTCAAAACACCAGCTACCCAAGAAAAGACCAACCACATACAGAGGATTTGCAGAACAGCTCAGTTATCCTGGATTCATAGAAGAGAAACCACAGGGATGTTTTTCTTTTATTATTATCTTAATTATTTATTTTCATTTTGGTCCATTAAAATTATGCTTAAAAACTTTATTTCCATCACACCTTTCAAATGAAACATCCAGAGAAGTGTCGTCTCTTCTCATGGTGAGTTTTTATAAAATCTACAGCCTCCTAGAAGGTCTGAATTGTTTAGCCGTTTTGTGAATTGTAAGATTGATTTTATCTAATAACATAATAAATGAAGTTTTTTTATCCTTAGCCAATTACCAAATATTCATACACAGTGTAGTTTGCATAGGTTTCAATTGCACTGGTTCCTGTATCAGTGCCAGTAATCCAGGAATAGCTTATTAGATCCCATTGTTTAATTTACTTGAACTGCAGAGAATAATTAATGAGCAAAGTTGTGAAATTCTTAAAGTATATTTAAGATGCAAGTATTTTAGTTGGGGCCATTCTGCTTTATTTCAATTCTCTAAAAGTCACCAGAATGTAGAAAATAATGTATATTGTGAGAAAAATGTTAGACATAACCACAGACCACTTATTGTTACTCAGTAATATTTACTGTGCTATAAAAATTCCACATTTTGCCGCTTTGTTTAAGTTAAATCCTCTGAAAACCTTCAACCTATAGCTGCACCTATGAGGATAGGTGGAGGATAGGTGCAGCCTGTCAGGGTTAAATGAGGATCTAACCCTGACAGGGGTTCCTCTCCAAACTATTTCAAAATCTCACCCCAAGGTTTGGTTAAAAGTTGGCAGCCCTGCCATAGTTTATACATTCTTAAATTAAAAACAAAATATTACAATGTGGAAACATCTTAGATGAATAAATGTATTACATTTACTCCACAAATGGGAACGGGAAGATTATGCTGGCTTCACATTGCATTTACTGCTAGTTAGATGCTAATAAGCACTTAATCTAGGTTTTTGTCTTTCGTATTGCTGGAATTAACAAATTGCCTTGAAAATAAGTCAATCTTAAATTTATCCATGTAGATCACTGATACCGGTTGTTTTTAACCGTTGTATTTTTATGCTTTTGTACTTCGGCTAACTGGCAAAGAAAAAAAAAATTGATCAACCAGGTTAACAAGATTTTTCTAGGCCTGTATCGGGGGGAGGGTTTCTACAGCCCTTAAGTTATTGTTGCTATTGTCAGTTTTACTTATAAAGTAGGTGGTTGTGGACATTTTGTTTTGATCTAGCAGAGCAGATTTATAAAAAAATGTAAGTTTTTGATAAATCTTGCACTTTTTGTCTGTAATCTCTTGTGTACTCAAAAACGGCACAGATTTTTGTCTCACAGGTTGAACATGAATTGGTCCAGTGGTTTTTAAGCTTAAAACTGATCATGTTCTTATTTTCCCTGCATCTTCAAGTCACACATTTTTCTGCATATCATGTAACAATATAGTTAGTATTGTCTCTCTGCGTTGACCTGAAATTCACTATACGGAGCATTTGTGGAAGATTGTGAATTCCGAATCATTAAACTAAATCAGACATCATGCTTCGGATGATTAATTACTTCTTCTGTCTTTAGAAATAGAATTGTTCAGGAGTTGTTTGTGCTTCTCTCACACTTCCTTTTGATTAATGAAGAAGAGTCTGGGCAGTGACAGTTCACCAAAGACCGTCGCCTCCAGCATTAGGTTTATGGCTTCCTGTGGCCTTGCCTGCCTGTAATGTTCATCCCTCATTATTTAAACGTGTGCCTCCATCACGTAATTCCACTAAACAGACAAAACGAGCTGAAGACAAACAAGACTACGGTGCCCATTTTCCCTTTTAACTTTGCCTCTTCAAAAAAAAAAAAAGTTTTGATTGCGCAAAATGAAATCTGCCCGAGTCCCCAGAGTAAATTTGATTATGGTAATGAAGACTTGGAAGAAGGTTGATCCTGGATGGAGTCATGTCCTGGATGCTTTCAGCTGCAATAAAGCCACGCCGACAACAGATGGAGCTGAAACTCCCCTGGGCTTTTGTTGCTAATGAAACACACAAAGCAAAAAATCTTACTTCTATTGTATTATATCCACTGCAAAAAACAGCACTTTAAAATCCATCGTAATTATGATTGCATTAATCAGTATGTTGTACCATATTGTTTTAACACATTGTCTGCTGTGAGAAATTACAAGAAAATAAAACATCAGCAGTTACTAAAAATGTGTGTATTTTTCAACACTTCTCCTAAGGAATATATTTTTTCAGCTGCTTTTTGTTTTGTTTTGACGTTTTGCAATACTTAATCTTATGTTTTACTATTTAATTTGATAAAGCTCTCTATGAAGCTTTTGTGGGTATTGATATAACTTTCCTTAAGCAAAGGCTTTAGGTTTTTTCTATGCAAGGCTTCTTCTATGCAACTCTCCATATACATATGCTTTATGAAGCTGGCATCCAAAAGTGGTCCCTAAAAGTATATTTTTGTTTTTTTCCTTATTCACATACAAACAAAGCTCTTCTGTTGCTCCTTCTGAATTAAGAATCCTAATTTTAAACATATTTTTTTCCTTTCTATTGTGATGCAGAGTGAGGGTCTTTGACCTCAGATCCGGCTCCTCTGTGGTGTCCCTGTATGCCCACCACCTGGGCGTCACATCAGTGCAGGCGGATGAGTGGAAGATTGTGAGCGGTGGTGGCGAAGGTCTGGTGTGTGTTTGGGAGATGAGGATGGGAACTAAGCTTTGGGAGATGCACAACAGGTAGGACTTTAGAAGATTGACCATGAAAATGATAGCACAGCTTTCCCCAAAAGACCATATACTGTTTGTTTGTTTTGTTTTTTTGTTATTATTAGCATACTGACAGGCTTTTATTATTGTAAATCCAGACTTAATTTGTTCCTTTTTTTTATATATATCAACAGATAAAAAATGTTTGAAGAGTTTGAAGCTGATTACATTTTTTAAATGTATTGCATCGTTTGTTCAGTTCATTTTGTTTTCCTTCTTTTTGTTCACAGGTAAACAAAAAACAAAGCAGGGATTAAAACTTAAGTAATTAGTAAATACTGATGGCTATTTTCTGTTTTGGAAGGCATCCTGTTAGGCACCTTCGCTTCAACGCCAACACCCTGCTGACGGCCAACATCCCTGATGACAAGTCGCCACGTGGGGCCTGCATCACCGACGACGACCTCACAGCGCACCGCAGGTCAGTGCTGAAATTTAAAAAGACTCTTATCTCATTACATCTATTTCTGGAAGGCTGATGTGACGTGTCAGCCATATGCGTATCGATCATCAGTATGTAGACAACAAAAATAAGGAGGAAGATGCACAGCAGTCCTGATGACCCTTTACGTGGTATGGCTAATCTCTGTAAGGGTGTAAATCCTCCTTCACATAACTAATCATTGACAGCATTGGAAAAAAAAAAACAACAACTTGTAAATGATTATTTTAACCTTCCAAAGCATTTTGTTTTTGACATGACTAATTTCTAAAGCCTCCATTAACTGTAACTGTTGTTGGTTTGTTCCTTCTCAGACACAGAGGAGTCATCTGCCATTACAACTTCTCCGAGGACGCCCTGTCACAGGATCACGTCTTGCCCATCTGCAGGTCCGACTACACTGACTCATACGGCTACAACTACAACATTAACCTGACGGTGCCCTACGATAGGCTGTCTGGCTCCCAGCCATCTCACTGAAGGCTGCAAACAAAACACTGACTGCAGATCGGATCGGACAAGAGATGCCTTTATCTGTCTGATTCACAAACTGCTCCATTTTAGTTAGCTTTTACTATCCTTGTGAAGACAAAGGGTTTTGGAAATGTCCTCCTTTAGGTTTTTATTTTAGATTCAAACATATCAATTTCTATAAGACTGTTTAAAATATTACCGTACATTGATTTGTTTTATTGATATTTTTGTGTTTTAGATCTGATGCATAGTCTAATTTATGCACAAAGAATAATGGCATATTAGTGTTTCATATAAAGATGCAAAAAAATAAAAGACATCAAAAATAATATTTCTCACTTTTATTTTTAATCCCATGTTTTGTAGTGAAAGTAAATTATCTTACAGCTGTAGTGGTTCATTAGACACAGAAAACATAAAATATCCGTCTATTCTGGTACTGCGGAGGAACGGTATGTGACAGTCTCCAGATGACTTCCTTCTTTACGAACATTTGGCTTCAAGTAAATAATCCTTCATTCTGCACGCTGGCTTTTCTCAATTTAAAATATACTTACCGGTAAGTCATGTGACTTTATGAAATATTAAAAATTATTTGACTAAGAAAAAGGCCACAAATCTGTTTGAAACATATAAACCGCCTTCTGAATAAAAACAAAAACTTTAAATTCGCAAACAGCTAACAGGTGTGAAAATATGAATCCTTTTTTTCTGCTTAAAAACATGTTAGTGCATAAAAAAAAAGCATTTCTTGCTTTTTTTCCATTTTTAATGAGAGGTGGTTCTGCTAAAAAAAAACAGCAACATAAAGAATCCTTTAGACTAACATCCTTGAGGTGGGTCATTTTCTGCAAAATCCATGAGCGGCGCTCGCGTCCAGAAAGCGAATGTGCATCCTGGACTCCATCTCAAGGCCTTTTAAAATCTGCAAACAAACACCAAAAAGCTGTGATTCAATCACAAGATGTGTGTGTATGTATGTGTGTGTGTGTATGTATATATATATATATGTGTATATATATATATATATATATATATATATATATATATATATATATATATATATATATATATATATATTTTTTTTTTTTTTTTTTGTCTTTGAAGGGAGAGAAAGATGCAAACCTGTTGAAAATGTTCAAATGTAATCCCTTCATAGAAGTCATCGGGACCCTGGTGCGACAAGAATCTGTTAGCTCAGTGCTGCGACAGTGAGGCATGAATTTGACCAGCTTAGTGGTAGCGAGTCCTCTTACCATGTTGGGCACATTAGTGCTCGCCACCTCCAGCATGGCGGCATCTGCTATCGCTCTCGCTGCCTCCTGCCCGATTGTGCCACTTTTTGACAGAAGCTCTTCTACAACCTTGGGGTTTAAACAGACGATTGACCTTAAAAAACCTCATTGGCAGATTTAGAACAGCGGGTAGGACGTGGTTTTAAACGTTTATTACAAATTATCACCTGTGATTGTCAGCTTCGAAGCAGTACAGTAGAAATGTTTCCTGTTATTGCTTACATCAACATATTTCCTCTCGTTTTTTCCCCTTTATCATATTTGGACACCAGAATATGCATCATTTATATTTCTTTCTTAGCCCTTTATAGGGCAAGTTACTGATTTTGATCACTTGCATACCCCTTACAAATGAAGTCCCCCTCGGTGAGGTCTAGACGCACAAGATCTATATCCAGCCATTCAGCAAAGACACTGCTACATGGCTGTGCATCTTATTTTGGCATTTGATCAATTAGATGAACCCTTGAATGATATATTACCTGCTGTAAATTAAGTTGCAAGAAAAAAAGTTAAGTCAAAAAAAGGTAAAAAGGTAATTGAAAAGTTAAAAAGTTACTAAGCCTAGTTAACAATTATATTTAGGTTTATAAGTGCCAGTATCAGAATTAACGCCTCTAAGTTATGTTGTACCAAAAAAAAATTTTTTTTCACTCTGAGTATTTTTCTTGAATTTCTTATAGAATTCCTTAGTTATTTTTCTTAATATAATCGGGCAAGTTGGTATTTCTTATTACATTGACATAAATTTTTGCCATCAAAATATCCATATTTTTTGAATGTTACAAATGTAATAAGGTCTTGTACTTGATTGCAATAACACTGTTTACATGAAATTTTGATTTTCAAAGGATTTAACTGAGTGCCCTATAAAGGGTTAAAACTGAATCCTTTTGTTTTTGTTCTTATTACATAAAGAACGTAATAAAGGAGGGTTAATTTAAATGAGAAGCTCTGAACAAGAATCTTTTGCTAAGACTTATCTGTATATTGCTTACAATGCCTCTGTAAAACCCAATCCTTTAATGCTCCCTAATCCACCTTTTTTCTTTTTTTGTACCTTTACTAATTTGACTAATTATACACGTCTAACAATGAGAGTCTTTACAGACTGGTTCATTCAGCAGCTGTTAAAGCAAGACAATATATAGAGAAGTTATTACTGTATTTCCACAATAGATTAACCTCTGCAATACAATCAGACAAAACAAGTAATTGAATTGACTTTCAGTACACTATGCATGGGTTAGTGTTTCCTTTGATCAAATTTGACCTCAATTTAGTTCAGACAGAGTAAATGGGTTGTTCTGCGGCTATTTGTTGCATTAAAAATTATTATAGGAAAGAAAAATATGCCATGCATCAAACGGGACAGAAATCAAATTTACTCAACTTAAAAGCTCCCGACTCAAGGTCACCTTTTGTTTGGTAAAACTGTCATTTTTACGACCAAGAATTATCCCTGCTTTAATTCAATTAATTTCCAATTTGAAAAACAGAGATGTTTTAATTACAGATCTGTGGTCAACAAGGTTCTTTCATATTAAAGCTGAGTCTCCTTCATGTGTATCTGCTACATGCTAATTTTTTTTTTTTTCCAAAACATAAATAGACGTAATCAGGGCAAAAAAGGCACATAATAAGCACCTACCCTCCTGTACTCCTGTAGCGTAATTTTGCCATCACCATCGGTGTCGTGCATGTTGAACAGGACTGGAAAGACAAGACAAAACAGAACAATTAAAGCTGCTGCTTAGATTTGTTAAGAAATACCCACCTTGTGGGATTGGGCAACAAGAAATTATGATTACAGGAATGTTTACGATGCAGAGATAAGATAATGAAGCAGATCCTTCAAGCAATAAGAGGATTAACAATGACGCTGTAATGTCTAGAAAATAAACAGCAGTTATTGGTATTTTACTCATAAAAGTACACATGTTGTTTAAGGTCCCAGATATAAAATAGTTTGATTAGGATGGATGGTATTAAAAGTTCAACTCTGAATAAAGACAAGGCATTATTCACATGAAAGGTAATTAGATCTTTGTTAACCTATTTTTTTATTCTTTTTAACTGGGAATATAATAAATGAGCTCTCTATAAACCCAAGTGCTTTTGAGTTCTTATTCTAAATTTTAATCTAGAGTATGAGCCAGATTCTGTAATCTTTCCGTCAATTATTAAGCAAATTTTTCCAGGTTGAAAGATTAAAAACAAGGGCCGTCTGGGTCTAAATGTAAGTTTTCAAATAAGGTTCTTTTAGTCTTTACTCTACATATGAGACATATATTGTTTTGTACTTTTGGAAGTTTTTGTCATCTTTAGTGTGAAAGTTTTGCCACCTTCACATGTAGTTACAGCATATTTTGCTGTGTTTTAATAATTAAAAAAAATATTAATAGAAGCAAAAGGCTGTAGGCTTTACCATGATAAAACGCAATAAATGAGTCGATAAGATGAATAAAATAACTTGATTAATGTGATCAAGTTGACAAGTTTAAAGGGACAGTAGGATTTACCTCCACCTAGTGATGCACTGAATAATTTACAAACGACAGACTGCTGCATCCCTGTCGAGCACTTGAGACCTACTACGGAAGCCAAGGAGAGACATTCTAGTCTTTCTGACGGGGCTTGTCAAATTACTTAAACCATGAAACGGATGGAATTTTTATCTGAAATCTGCAGCTAAGGTAGTCTAAATGGCCAACTCCATCTTATATCAGAGATATTATTGTTCCTCATGTTCCTTTCAGAGCACTTTGCTCTTGATCAGCAGGTTTACTAGTGGTTCATAGAATTTCTAAAAATAGAATGGTAGGCAGAGCTTTTAGTTATCAGGCTCCTCTGCTGTGGAACCAACAACCAGTTGTAGTCTGTGAGGCAGACACCCTGCCTACTTTTAAGGCAAGGCTTAAAACGTTCCTTTTTGATAAAGCTTATACTTGGACTTGAAAAATTCAGTCTAGGCAACTGAACGTTGAAGTTGCTGAAGTTTTCTAGAAGATGTTTTGCCTCTCATCCAAGAGGCTTCTTCAGTTCTAACAAGGGGTAGGGAACACTGAGATTAATATACTAGATTAACATATTAGTCAGTGGGGCTCAGATTATCCTGAACCATCTCTATAGTTATGTTGCTATACGTATAGACTGCTGGAGGACATAGGAACCCCTTTGCATCATTCTGCCTTCATACTCCAATTCTGCAGTATTTGTTAGTTCAGTCTCTAACGTTCTGCTCTCTCTGCTTTACTCATCATAGTAGCTTCGTCTGGTCTGTTCCTGTTTGGCTGTGACACCATCCTGGAGAGAAATATCAGCTGTGCTGCTGCCATCAACATCTTTGTTTATAGATGTTGGAGCTTGGCCTGTTTTTCAGTGCATTCCTGTTTCACTGACTGTGAGTAACAGTATGTGCTCTCTTTCATTCTCTGACATGGGAGCTGGTTCGGAGCTTGTCTCTCTGGCTGTGTGTTTCCTGGACGGAGCCACCTGTGGAGCTGGTCGACAGTTGCCTTTTGTATCTCTGCTTCCTTTTCCATGTCTGCCTCTGTCTCCTTAAACCCTAGTCAGCCTCAGCAGATGGCCGCTCGCACTGAGCCTGGTTCTGCTGGAGGTTTCTAAAAGGGAGATTTTCCTCTCCACTGTCGCTACAAGCATGCTTAGTGTGAGGGATTGCCGAACAGTCAATGAGTCGACACAAGCAGCTGGTTTTCATTAGATAGAAAACTTTAAACCAATCTGACCGTATGATCTGGTTGAATTGTCTTGTTGTGAATTGGTGCCATATAAATGAACTCAATTGAAATTGAAATGAATTATAAAATAGTCTCTTGGCTGCAAATTTCCCAAAAGCAGACAAGCTATGAAAACCAAGCAGAGAAGTGAACAATGACAAACTGGACACAAGGCATAGCAGCCAAGTAGAGAATATAAACATTTTGCTCAATTAAATAAACAAGTCATTCAAGCAAAGAGTGTTTAAACACTCGTACTCGTCGTCTCCCGCTTTATCCGGAACCGGGTCG